GTTATGCGAGTTTATGCAAAAAAAAATTGAACTAATCTACGAAATTGTAGTTTGTATTATGAATTAAATAGCAGCCATGCAGTCACAAAATGCGTATAAGAAAATAAGGGCATGTTCTCTTTATCGTTTTCAAGTCCGTTTTTGTTTTCGATTTTTTAAAACAGTGAAAACGCATTCTTTTTCCTATTTTAGAAAACGCGTCGAAAACAAGTTAAAAATTAAAAATTCAAAACGACAAATTTGTTGTTTTAGGTATTTTCAGTTATAATTAAGTTAAAATTTTCAAAATGCGTTTTGGGTGTTTTCAGTTTAACGTCACTCCAACAACCACCAACGCAACTTGCACCACACCACCGTCGCGTCACAACCATCACCATCGCCGACTACACCACACTACCACAAAAACCACCGTCGCTGCCGCTGCCACAATATAATTCCAACCATCGCCACCTACACCACACCACACCACACCACCACCACACAATCGCCAACCACAGCCACCATCCACTATAGCTACCACAACAAAAATGGTCACCACACAAACGCCAAATCCACCACCACAAAACTGCCAAAATCGCTGTAGAATCACAGCCACCGCCACACCACGCACACGATCGCCACAGCCACGCACCCAAACACCACCACCATAGCACGCACACCACCGCCACAGCCACAAACTGCACCACACCATTGTCGCACACCACACACCCAAAACCACCATAGCCACAACCAACCACTGCCACAGTAAAAAAAAAAAATCAAGTTTCACNGTTATGCGAGTTTATGCAAAAAAAATTGAACTAATCTACGAAATTGTAGTTTGTATTATGAATTAAATAGCAGCCATGCAGTCACAAAATGCGTCTAAGAAAATAAGGGCATGTTCTCTTTATCGTTTTCAAGTCCGTTTTTGTTTTCGATTTTTTAAAACAGTGAAAACGCATTCTTTTTCCTATTTTAGAAAACGCGTTGAAAACAAGTTAAAAATTCAAAATTCAAAACGACAAATTTGTTGTTTTAGGTGTTTTCAGTTATAATTAAGTTAAAATTTTCAAAATGCGTTTTGGGTGTTTTCAGTTTAACGTCACTCCAACAACCACCAACGCAACTTGCACCACACCACCGTCGTTGTCACAACCATCACCATCGCCGACTACACCACACTACCACAAAAACCACCGTCGCTGCCGCTGCCACAATATAATTCCAACCATCGCCACCGACACCACACCACACCACACCACACCACACACCACACCACCACCACACAATCGCCAACCACAGCCACCATCCACTACAGCTACCACAACAAAAATGGTCACCACACAAACGCCAAATCCACCACCACAAAACTGCCAAAATCGCTGTAGAATCACAGCCACCGCCACACCACGCACACGATCGCCACAGCCACGCACCCATACACCACCACCATAGCATGCACACCACCGCCACAACCACAAATTGCACCACACCATTGTCGCACACCACACACCCAAAACCACCATAGCCACAACCAACCACTGCCACGGTAAAAAAAAAAAAGGAAGAGAGACGAAGTCGTCAGCGATTGCAGCCACCGTCACTGCTCGTAGACAGATATGAGTGAAAGGAGAGAGAGAGAGAGATGATGGAGAGAGAGTGGAAGAAAGAGAATGGGTCTTCCAATTTTTGATTTTTGAAAACAATTTTTCAAAATGTCAAAAAAAAAATGTATTTTCAACAATCTCAAAATGGACATTCAAAACACAAAATCCCAAATAAATTCAAAACTCAAAATACAAAACTAAAATACAAAGAGAACAGCCCCTAAGTTTCTTATGAAATGACAATATTTCTTTATATAGTAATTTGAAAATCCTGGGTTAGTAGTTACTAAATGATATTAGGATGTAATCTGGAGCAGTTGTAAAGATGAAATAGCCTGGTAGTTATTAGTTAATACTATTTATTTTTGGTTTTACGAGTTTTGGTCTAATATTTTTTGTTTATTTTATTCACTAGGACTTATTAATTATTTTTACAATAGAGGATGGACTAAATTGCAATTTCAGTTATGCTATGCGTTAGGTTTGATATATATCAATTTGGGTGACAACCATTTTGAACGGTTTGAGAAAAATCCAAACCTAAATCAAACCATTTTGAACTGTTTGAAAAAAAAATTCAAATCTAAATCTAACGGTTTGGTCCGATTTTAAACCGCCGGATTCGCATATATTTTTTTCCTGTCTGGTGTCTACTTTTATGCCATTAATTCAATATATATTTATATCTTACTAGCAATAAATCTAAAACAAACTAAATA